CATAGAATCCACCACACATTACACAGGTCACTGACACTTTAGATAGATGTAATGTTCATACAATAATGATAAAGCAAGACTGTTTTTTTTATGTTGGATTTTATAGCTATATGCGAAATGTAAACACTGCGTTAAGTTTCATCCACCACCAATCAGTTGCAACTAAATTATATTCCCAGAGTCCGCCTCCCCTGCATGGGTTACATTTCCTGTATTTTATCAGCACACGCAAATGTGATATCTCACTCGTGCTTATTTGCTTGGGAGCAGAACACAATGGTGATGAAGTCATGTATCAAGCAGCCACACGGGTAGATGCTCTTAAGCACGCGTCCATGAATGTGTAGTTGAGGGAGCTTTGTCCAGCAGTCTCGATTCAAACCTGCCTGTGGCTTTTAAATTCTGCTTTCTCTGCTTTGGCACAGTCCTTTGCCAGATGTGGCAATGCTGATATTCTCAGAAAGAGGGAGTGGGGCGGGGGGGGTCTAGAAAACTAGGAATTACCCAGAAATTCTTTGCGGATTATTCCCCGGGCCTCTCCGCTGAGTTATTACATGGAATATCGGGTGTTTTCCAGCTTGTCTGTTTGTATAGACTGAGCTAAAATGACACTTTAACAACAACAACAACAACAGCCACCCTGTGACTTTTTTGTTTGTTTTTGTCACACAAAGATTTTTTATTTTGCACCAGCTCTTCTTCATCTCCCATTTCACACCCAAACTCTCCTTCACATCACGTATAACAAGATTGTCTTTACCAGCATTTTCTTTGTCATTGTTTGTTGCCTTATTATTATTAATGTTATTACTCTGGAATCTTTGTTTTGCTGCACTTGCTCTTCACACTGCTCTCTGAATTCAATTCGATTCAATAAATCAGCTCTTTTAGATTCATTCTCACATTTTACTGAAACAAATAACCGAAGTACTTGAGGTAGTCTGCGCGGTCACAGTATCTTAAATGGCCAAGTATTAGGAGCAAAGTCCCGACTGTTTAAGTGTAAAAATATACTTGTCCCTCCTGTATAATCAGCAAAGCCGCACTAAAGAGCCCATTTCTTCCGCCTCCTATAAAGCGACACCAAGCAGTGTGCCCCCCGAAACATGACAAAAGGAAAAAAATCAGTCTCCTTTTTCAAGTACGAATATTTGTACCATAGTGTTTCCCCGATTGGACAGCTGTATATATTGCTTCTTAACTACTGGTGATGACCTCGCTACTGTACTTTGAATTTAGAAATTTATTTGGTTGCTCTGCCAATTTCTGTACAGTCGGTGTGCTAGTGGGTTGCCTGTAATTCATGCTTGGGAAAGATTCTGTAACATAGTTTCTATTAATAAATGTATGTAAAGGACAGATAACTAGACACCCTCCCCCACCACCCCGTCTGCACACTACTGAACCTGCCGATTGGTTGAGGGGTGAGGAAGCGGATTGAGATGATGCGCAAACTAGTATTTATGTCTGCCTTGATTCTTATATCTGTAACGGAGCGGAGAGTGGGGCACTCTGATGTTTATATTCTGTTTTCTTTTTCTACCCCTTCATCGCTCCTCTGTATGGGAGGGGCTGCATCGCTGTCTTAACTCTTTTGGGGAGTGGGGGATTGGTTTGTTATCGTGGGAAGTGGGCCGGCCGGGTCTTCCTTTTATTTTTATTTTTTTCCTGTGTCCCCCACCTGTTCTGCAGTTTGAGTGACCACTTCCTGCTTTTGTCTAAGTACAAAAAGAAACGTACATATGTATAAATTTTTAAGGAGCTGTGCTAACATTTAAATGCGTTCTCTTGCGTGTATATGATTTTAAAATGTTGACATTTTGATTTTAATGAAAAAAAAATACTCTAGACAGAAAAAAATAAATTATACATAACCTGTTGCTGTGTCCTTTTTTTTTTAAATCTGTGGCTGCAAATGAGAAGAGCACTTTTAATATCCTGTCTACTACAAGCAATGAGCATCACACCGTTCCAGTTTGTGCTGGAGGGATCCTGTTAGCACAAGACAATGTCTGAAATTTTGCAGTGACAAGAAAAAGCTCTACCTAGATGTTATCATACTCTAGCCATTTTAGGTAGGAGAGAAAAGTCAAATGGTTTCTGAAAGATCATTTCTTTCACTTCACAGCCAAAATGACCAAATAAGCCATACACAAAATGTATTTCAAGTAGCACAACTGCTTTGTTTTTTATTGCAACGAAAATTGCACCAAGGGGAGGGGAACGACATTTACAAGTGACAGTTTGTGTACAAAATTGGCGAGGAGGCTTAGACACAAAATTCGAGTAGTGGTATGGTTGGTACAGGAAGTTTTTCGTCTTTTTTTTTTTTTTTTTTAAAGAAGCCAACACTGACAGTACCATGTTGAAGTCAAGGCAACTAGCAGTTGATTTTTGTCCTCGGGCATCGCAGTCAGACGGGGCACACGGGGATGAGACGACAACACAAATACTGACACTGTCCGAGAGATGCAGGTGAGGAAAGAACATGTGGTGAAAATGGAATCTGACGAGTTCTTTCAGTCCGTATTGGTCACCTTCTCACATCATTTTGTAGCACAGCAAGTGACAGCTCCATAAACATTTCAGTCCAGTGTTTCCCCCAGGATTTTTTTTTTCTTCTGGGGTGAAAAGGCCTCAAAACAGCATTCAGACCATTCGAACATGCGAGGAAGGCCCGTCAGAGTCGGAAACGCTGTTTCAGTCTGTTACCCCCTCCTAACAGATCAGACAGCGTGCTGCTGCGGGGCCAGTCTGCTACTGATGGCTTTTATGACTTGTAGTAAAAGTTGAATCAAACTTGTTTAGTAAAAAGAAGTCCAGTCTAAGGACAATGCAAATCAACAGATCCACTGAGAACCCTGGTCCCTCTCCCAGTATAGACTGGAAACAAAGGTTTTTTTGGTATGGCAGACATGGAAATCCAAGAAACACGCCTAAAAACAGCCATTCTCAACCACTTGATAAAAGCTTGTTTCTGCACTTGTAAAGTGTCAAGAGTAAGAACAGCTCTGCCGGTAAGTGTTTAAGGCACTAATTGTTACCCAAGTGTGCAGAAAAGCAGAACTGTGAAGGCCAGAGGCTCATCCTGCCTCATTTGCTCGCTCCCATTATAACATTATGGCACGTGGTTGCAAATACTGCAGAAGAGCATTCATACAAAAACACTGACACAATTCCATCACTCAGCACACAACCAGACATTGATGGCATTAAAAAAACAAGAAAATGTAGGGGCATGTGGGACAAAACTTACAAACACTGTGAGAAGAGAAGTTCCTTAACACTTACATTTAAAAATGGCATTTGTGTTACAAAGGCAAACTACAAGATGAGGTTAAGCACTTTTGTTTTTGTTCACTGTTGTCAGCATTAATGATTAAAAAAAAGAACCACTAACAGTGATGGAAACAATTATCACAGGTCTTTTTTTTTTAATACTCGAGTCAGTGATAAAGGGAAGAAACCAAAAACATAAGACATGATCATTTCAAAAACAAAAAATCAACCATGAAAGGTTACGTTGATGAAAGATTTGGCCCCTCGCCTCATGTGAAGGCCAAATGACAGTGTTTATTCATAGTCAAGGCTTTTCAATGTTACAGACTGTCTGATGGCATCTACATAAAGCTTTCTTTGATTCAGTCCGGAGTAACCACAGGCTTAAGTGTTTCAGAACATACTAGAGTATGTGTGAACCTACACCTCTGCTGCTCTCCAGCATGAGCTGGGCCTGGGCAACAGTTGGCCCACATGCATGGAGGGAGGGGGGGAAGGGAAGTGTAACATAAAATGTTATCATTTTTATGTCTGATAGTGTCACATTCTAGGCGCTACCTCTGAACAATGTCACTGATCTCTTTGACGGAGGACAGCAGCTTGCTGAAGTCCTGCTGTGCACTCGAGCCCCCCGTGGCATTGGGGCAGATCTGAAGCTCTCGCAAGCTGCTCTCAAGCTTGTTGATGGCCTCGCGAAAGGCAAACTTGTTTCTCATCTGCTGAATGGAGTCAACATAGCTCACGCAGTACTTTGACAGGTTCTTGCCGGCCTCCAGCACGGCGCTGTGGCTACCCGTTTGCTCAGAGTTGCGGGAAATGGCGGCGCGGAGCAGCTCGGTGCCCTCCAGCACCATTTCGCGTGTCACGGCTGAGTTTGGAGTGCGCTCGGAGGCCTGGCGGGGTGCAGTCTTGCGGAGGGAGGATCGTGTTTTCGCTAGAGGGGTGAATGCAGTGGGTGAATTTGGATCGTTGGGGGAGGTGAGGGGAGAAGACAAACCTCCAAGGCTCTGGCTGGAGGGGGAGCTGGTTACTGAAGTGGAAGAGGCGGAGGTCTTTAACGGTTGAGGTTTAGAGGTGGAGCCCAAGGGCAGCTTCTTGGAGGCCTCACTCAGGGGTAAGCGGGCTTGGTCACTGGGACTGGCTGTGTGGTGGGGATCTGAGATGGAAGGGAGGCACTTAGCTTTGATTTCTGAAGCAGTCGGGGAGGGGAGCTCTTGAGTGGGGCTGCGGGAGACCTTGCCTGTTTTTGCATTAGTGGGTGGTGGAGGTGGGGCTGGCTTGGGTTTCTGTATTTTTACTCGATCCCTGCTGGAGGAGAACTCCGTGTGCTTGTTTCTGCGAGCCCTGCACTCTTCTCCAGCTGCCCCCATAGGAGGGAACACATTGGGCTTCAGAAGCTCGGCATGCAGAGCGCTGGTCTTGGAGCTTTCTGGCCCTGACACACTGGGTCTCTTCACCACCTTAGGTGTCAAAGCCTTGGGACTGGAACCAGGACTGAGATCATTATCTCTGCCTAAGAAGGTGGAGGAAATATCTGGAGATGTATTCAGGCGTGGTGGGGGAGTCAGGGTGCCCATCCGTGGCGCACTCTCTCCTTTCTGCTGCTTTCGTGGCAGAGCTGGCTTGCCCCCGACGGTGCC